TCGAGCTTAGTGGAGTGCGTTGGCAACATAAATTTTGCGAAATACGTCGAAATATTGGAGGAAGGACTCTTGCCACTTTATTCCTCTGGTTTCGGGGACAAGAACACAACGTTGTTCCAGGAAGATGGAGCACCGTGTAACACTGCTAGAAACACCCAAAAGTGGCAGGAAGAAAATGGTATCAAGAAGTTGCCCTGGCCGAGCCAATCTCCTGACATGAACCGCATTGAAAACCTCTGGGCCATACTCGACCGGCAAGTCAAGAAACAACCAAAAAAACCAACTTCGAAGAGCGATCTAATCCAAGTTTTGAAGCAAGAGTGGGCAAAAATCCCACAATCTAAAATTGACGAGATGATTCTCATGATGCCCCAAAGGATCAACGAACTCCACAAAGCGATAGGAAGATCTACTAGATATTAATTAAATTATAAATATATCAATTCATGTGAATATGACTGAAAAATTTCATTTTTTCTGAAAAGGTGGTGTTTACTTGTGATCACGCTGTGTACAGTTCATAATAGAAATATTTCCAGACTGCAGGGTAAATTCTTTAAGTTTTACTTCATATTCCATAGCATGAGATAGTGTTATTTTCTGAAGTATGTGAAAATTTGGTTAATGTTAAATAACCAATACAAACATAAAACTTATTTCATTTTACTGACAAATGGAATTATTGTGTATTAGAAACAGACGTATCATATACACATACATTAGGTATAATTTTGCTTTCTGATTTATATATATATACCAAAAAAGATTTATCATAAACAATTACAATTGAAGTGGAAAGTTCACTATTCATATTAGGCCTAATTTCTAACTTTCTACTGACTTATGTAATATTTGGTGGCTATCTTATAGTTTCAACCTGCTCTGCAAGCATTAAAGCTTTTTCTTTCAAAGATGCCATTGCTCCAACACCAATGCTCATCCATACCTTTCCAAAGCAAAATCAAATATTACTTTCAAATATGGTAGCATCCTACCATTTCGACACATGTACCCTTTTAAACACTTTTCTCTACAAGTCACTGTGTGAAATTCAAAATTTAATTAAACACCTTTACTATCAATGTATGTGAATGAAATTAACATCATAATGTATGTTATTATTCAAAATTTTATGTTATGTAAGTTTAAGTCCTTTATTTCAAAATAAACCTTTAAAAAACTACTTAACTTCAGATGTCACATGACACACGAGCTATGAAAATTCTCTACTTTGGCACTTCTTATGTTCAGTAATATAATGCAATTTGGTTAGATGTACGTCTATACAATAAAATGTTTACATAATCTTTGACATGTACATTTCAAAGTTCTCTGGATTAATGCAGTTGAAACAAGTAATACATTTTGTCAATCCCTGACTGGTGCTATGCCCACCTTCAATAGATTTGTTTGAGCTTTATAGCCTACATGTAGAGGTTACATACACATGCATATAGTCATTACAAAGAGCTCATTTTACACTATAAGTCAACAATGGTTATTTTGAATTTGGCACACAATTTTAATCACGGGGTATATGTAACTGCCTGTAGTATTGTTGGCTGCTTGATCAACTCTAGCACTTACTATTGCTTCTTACCTAAATATGTTATAGTTGGAGATATATTTAAATCGTATTTAGGACTTACTTTTATATTTTAGTTAATTATGTATTATTTATGTTTTAAAATGCATAATTGAAATGTTTAAACATTTTCAAATATACATCATACTTTGCATCAGTTCTCAAGGCTTATAATATGATGTGGTGCATGAACATTTTGCCATAGGATTGCACATCTTTGTTGACTTATATCAAGATGAATAATAAATGTTAAAGGACAAGAAAGGAAAATAAAACATTAAAATTTAACTATATGAGAAAAGGAAAAGACCTGAAATTATGAATATAACCAAAAGATCTTTAAAGATATTCTAAGAAAAATTAAAAGGTACGTATGTTTTTTATATTTCCTAATTATAATCATTTCATTGCATTTTGCATTCATGATAATAGCTAGAGTTAGCAATATGGTAAACAAAATGAGAAATAAAATACAAAAATATATGCCTTAAAAACTTTTAATATTCATTTATGAGGTTCCAGAGGTTATGCAAATAAAATATTAAAATTATAAAATTAAGAAAATTATTTTTATACTTAAAATGAAAATCACCTTAAACTCGAACTATTCAGAGTTTGAGTGCAAATAACTACTATAGAAAAATATTAACAGGTTTTGTGAGGATATCTCAGAGTTACTGTGTGTATTGTTGCATAAAAGTACTTCCTCATTCAAGGTGGCATGAAATGTGTTGCCCCTCTTCCAAAAGGGTTTTCATGTGAGACTATGTACAAATTAAGTTACCTTCCTTGTAACACAAGTTGGTTGCTATAGAGGGACAAATCAGGATATGAGATTGTCAGTGGTCATGTTATATGGTTGGTTGGTATACACAGAGTCAGTAAATACAGAAAATGTGTAGGATATTCTAAAAGTGGTCATCATGAGTAAGTGGTCACTTAAAGGCAGGTATAACTGCATTTATTTTTATGAAAATCTTGAATGCATGCTTGTACAATAGTGAAGAAGTGTATTAAATTTTCTTATATTAAATAATTTTTTTTTCTAACTGGAGTTCATTTTCATGTTGAAAAACCATAAACTTACCGTCTAATAATGTTAAAGCCTTAATAAAAGTGATGGAAATTCCAAAACAAATACTTATCTGAGCTTTGTCTCTGCTAATGTAGGTGATGAGATTCCTCACACATATTAATTTACAACCATTTCTGTTGAAGTTCTTTACCTGTAGAGGATATGATGGTTATCTTGCATTGTGTGATGGGGTCTTTATGAAGCCAATATCCTCTGCTTTCACTTCTCCACTTCTTTTCTTTGCTATTATTCAGGCTTGACCTTGAAGAGGACGATTTTGAGCACTTTTTCAATCCAATTTGTTAAAAATACTTCTCTATCTCATGAATATTTTTTGTTTCCTACTCTCCTTACATAAACCTTCTATCTATAGTTTCCTTTCTTCTCTCTGACCAATTAGTTCTGTACCCAACATTTCCTTTAGGCTCTTTGCTCTTGCTGTTTGATGCCTCATCCTTCCTTCCTTACCAGCTAACATGAAAAAGCTACTATATAGATATATTTTATTACCCCTTTACACATAACTTATAGGATTAAATGTTTAGACATCGTTTATGATTTCTTAACATGTTCACATACAGTATAATATTTAGATCTAGTTCATTACTTATTTAACTTGTATCACATAAAATATAATGTTTAGTCATAGTTATGTACTCTGGCATATACTACATAATATATTATGTTTAGTCATAGTTCATCACTCCTTCACATGTACATATAGGAGTTGATGTTTGGTCATATTAACTTCCTCCTTACCATATA